TTAAGAGGAGGTACACTGGTTTTGGCAGCAGCTCATGACTTTATAAAGTAATCCCCTGTGTGGACAAAGCAACTGTAAATGATTCCAAAAACACACATATCCGTCAGATAATTCAGAAGTGGCAAATCTGGAGTGTTTATTACTTTTAGTATAATTTAGCTGTAAGTTTGTGTATTTCAATTTTAATAATGACTGTATTTAACATCTGACTTTCAAGACTATTTGAAACTTTAATAAGTTCCCGAGTCTAGCTGGTTCCAACATGGTGTGATACGGGGTGCAGTGTGTCATGTGTTGTAGGCTATAACCAAGTGTGTCCTTACAGTGTTTTGTGGACTACAGTTTCTGTGCTTTTGTATACTTAGAGCCTTACTCTCTCCAGCATTAAGTGTCATAATTCATTCAGTTAGAAAGGTTCATCTGTACTTGTGTGTGAAGGCCCTCTGTTTTGAACATTATTTAAGCCCTGGGTTGAAAATTTGTTTTTGTACAGGCTAGAGAACAGATGAACACATACATTATCAGATTGTCCCTTTGTGAAGCCTTTGTACAAGTAATGCACACTGCAGATGCTTATGGTCTTGAACCATTATCATAACATATGTTCCTGCTCCAAAGTGGCAAATGTGCCTCTGTTCTGAAATAGCTCATGTATGAGCACTCACATCCATATCTTATGCTCAGGGTCTGGCTGTGGAGGAGGTACAGGGACTTCCATGCCAAAGGAAGTGTTGCTATGCCAATTGCTTTAGCCTGAACCAGACAGGACTGTTTAGAGTGGGTGTATTATTTCTGTCCCTGTTATGGTCATCATTGCCCTGTCCTCATCATCATTACCAATAAGCACTGTTTATCAAGAGCCGTCATGTGCATCTCACTGTGACAGACACCATGCAAATCAAGTGGCATCAATGATCCCATGAAGGTCAAGCCCAGACACAAGCAAACAGCATTAGGTACTGCATCTCTGCCATTTCAGGGCGTGTGATGGGATGGGATGTGAAGAGGGTAAGGCCGGCATTCCTTGCAGGGCAGGGAAAGGAAAAGATGGTACACTAGGTGATGAGAGGAGGTGAAGCTAAGCAGTTAGTGCGAGCCTCAGAACGCATTGGTTGAGGGGTGTGTGGAGCAGTAATGAGATAGAGAGAGGCAAGTGAGGGAGAAAAGGATGGAGGGATGGAGGGTAAGGAAAGGAGAGAGGCAGAAAGATACTGAGACAAAGGGAGAGAGACAGACAAATACAGAGAGACATGGAGATTGACAGACAGAGAAATAGAGAGACAAAGGGAGAAACAGGGGGCGGCTAAACAGAAAGATACAGAGACAGACAGACAAGGGACAGAGACAACAAGACAGAGGAAGAGGAGAGGAGAGACTGACAGAACAAGAGAAAGTAAGGAGACAGAAGAGGAAGCTGGGAGGTGGCCTTGAGGGGATGCAGCATGGGTATGAGGGGATCTCTAAGCCCTGGTCTCCACCCCACCCCTCTGTTCTGTCCTGTCTCCTCCCACCATCACCACATCTGACAAGGAGAAGCTAAGTGGGTAGATGGTGTGAACTGAGAGTGCGAACCCACCTGGTGCCAGGGGATTGATTCCTGGGCTAATTCAGGGAGTGGTCTTTCTGTAGCCAGCTGGAGAAGAGACATTACCTTTTCTTCAGTATTTGCCTTCTTAAAAATAAAAGGCTAGAAGCCAGATGTGGTGACATGTGCACCCAGGAGGCAGAGACAGAAGGGTCACTGTAAATTTGGGCTTCATAGTGAGTTCTGGCTCAGCTTGTGCTACTCAGTGTGGCCCTGTTTCAAAAACACCAGGAGAAAGCTGTGGTGGTGGTGCACACCTTTAACCCCAGCACTCAGGAAGCCAAGGCAGGTGAGTTCCTGAATTCAAGACCAGCGTGGTGTCTACAAAGCCACGGTTTCAGAGACAGCCAGGCTTGTACAGAGAGGCTCTGTCTCAAAAAAACCTAAAATCCAGACTAAACCAAATAAACAAACAAAAACCCTAAACTACCACCACCATATACCACCACCACCACCACCACCACCACCACCACCATCACCACCACCACCACCACCATACCATACCACCACCATATCACACCACCACCACCACCACACCATACCACCACCAGCAACAGCTCTAACAAAAAATACCAAGAGAAAACAGTCTAGAATATTTTTCCATTCAGGACATCATTTGATTATCCCTGGAGGTGATGTAACATGACTTCTGCTTTTTTTTCAAGGGGATTTCATTAAAAAGATAAAGCCCTGTCTTATGAGCATTACCACTGATAGACTTGCCAGCAACCAATATAAGGTGGGCTTTGTAGCCCCTGTTTAATTTACTGTCTATTGATGTTTAAGATCCTAGAGACAAGATTTCATTTCTGTAGCATTAATTTACTTCATTTTTCTGGAGAGCCATAGAATTAACTTAGAAAACTAGCATTGTCTGAGGGTATCAAGAGAATTTTTGTTGAAGTGAAAATTGCTGCTTTTCCCCCCTTTCACTCCAAGAACAGATGAAAATATTGTAAAGAGGAATACATTTTCTTTTCAAAGATGAGCTGTTTGAAGAATATAGGTTGTTCCCCGTGATAGAGAAATCAGAGCTTTGATTTACGGACATTTAACCCTCTCCTTGTTCTGCCAAGCCAGGGGCAATCAAAGCCAGTACCTAAATGGTACTCTTTTTTCTATAGCTACTTGGTAATTTCCCATGAGAATTTGGAATCACTGTTGATAGAGGCTCATGTTTTCCCTGCCCTGGAGCCCCAGAATCCTCAGAGTAGGGTAGAGGAGGAGACCTGGGATACTGACTTCTGGACTTTGGGGTGACACTTTGTGTTTCCCTACACTGTTTAATGTCTGATGTCTCCATCTTAAAATGAGAGCAGAACTTAACCCTCATCACCCCCTGGCTTTGGTTCTCTTTAGTAGAGTAAAAGATACCCAATAGAGCAGTCCTTCAGGGTGTAGAACTTAGCATAGCTCAGTTGGTTCATGTATTTTGTTGAGCATACAGGACATCCCAAGTCTTATATAGGTACTAGGAACACAGCCTGTGCCTTCTGGCACTTTGATTGACTGGGGGATCTCTTGAGATTGTGGGGGACAGCTTGTCTTAGACTCTAGATCCTACACTGGTGACAGGAAGCTGAGGGCTGTGTGTGTAAGACGCTTCTTGCTTTAGATGATATACTCAACTTTCCTTGGGTCATTAGCCTTTACTTTCCCTCTATCCTCCCCAGCCTTTCTCCATTCATTCCTTCTAAGACAAAGATGCTCACTTCTGAACTACCTGCAGCTGCAAATACACCCATGTAGGAAATTTTCGGGACAGAAAACTGTTGGAATTTTTGGGTGTGTGCTTGCTTAGAGACTACATTAGCCTAGGATGGTCTGTTCCCCTTCCTCTCCACTTAGGTTTTAAACTATAGATCAGTACATTTATCATGGTTTCCAAAAGAGCTTCTGATTTATTTAGTTTTAAAGATTCTATGTATGTATGTATGTATGTATGTATGTATGTATGTATGTATCTATCTATCTATCTATCTATCTATCTATCTATCTGTGTATATGTGTGCATGCTTGAGTCTATGTGAGTGTGTGTATATTTGTGTGTGTGTGTGTGTATGCTTGTTTGTATGTGTATGCATGGCTGAACATGTCTGTGCTTCCATAGAGGCCAGAAGAAGACATAAGATCCCTTGGAGTTGGAGTTACCTGCCTCTGCAGGATTCCTAGATTTTTTTGTGGGCACTGGAATCAGAACTCCAGTACTCATAACTTTTCAGCAAGAGTGATTAACCATCAAGCCTTTTCTCTTAACCACTCTGATTCTCTCTTCTAAACATCTTATGCTATGGTTGATGTAGCTTGGGACTTTATGACTCTTTCAGGCAAATTCAAGCTGCTATGACCCTTCACCTCAAATCACACCTTGTAAATATTTTCCAGACATGATTTACGGAACTGTTCCTGCAGTGGGTGGCATCTTTGGGCATCAGAACTAAGGTGGGCAGGGGGCAGGGAGCAAGGAGTGGATCTTGGACATCACGATGAGGCTAAGGGGAGTGGGGTGACTCACAGCCAGCTCAGGCCTTTCTCAGTTAGCAGGAGTCTGTGAAGGACGCTGAGATGCCCTTCCTGCAAATTCCTTCTCCTTCTTTTCACCTTGATGCTGGGGTTACTCCTCCCTGAGAACAGCCTGTGGAGGCTTTTGAAACACCTTTAGTGTAAAGTAAAAGATGTGGCAGAGAAAAACCCTCTTTGCTCCACAGTCAGTCCCATTCTGTGATAGTGGTCACAGCATCCACAGATGGCAGATCTAAGTCCTTTTATTTTCCTCATAAAAATAATTATTTCAATTTACATTGCAACAGAAGAAAAATTAACCCTTAGGTCAGAGGTTTTGAATATTTGCTGTGGCAACTCGAAATTGCTGGGTATGTGCATTCCGAAAGGTGCTTTTTCCTCAAGCATATGAAATGAAAAATATGGATGGACAGGGATTGGGGCGATGGCTTAATTGGTAAAATTCTTGCTGTTCAAACATAAGAATCTGAGTTTGACCCCCCCCCCCCCCAGAAATCACATAAAAGGCCCTGTGTGGTGGTGTGTGCTTGTAATCACAGTGCTGCGGAGTCAGAGATAGGCAAATTCCTGGGGCTCACTGGTCAGACAGTCTAGCCCAATTGGTGAACTCCAGGCTTGTGGACAGACTCCATCTCAATGGTGGAGACTGACTAAGGAAGGCACTGAACATTGACTTCTGGTCTTCAAATGTTCCCATATGTGTGCACTTACACAATATGTATGCACATGTGAACATGTATGTCCAAATGTCAGGCACCTGAGTCCTTGATGATGAACACTGTGTTTCTTGGAGTGGGTTCAATGCTAAGACCTAGTATGGATCTGCTGTTTTGCTGTCCTCACTAAGCTCTAGAGCCGATTTTGGAAACAGAACAGCCAAATGGGCTCTTACCTGGCAATCTTGTCTGTGCAGGACATGGTGACTAGCTGCTCCCCCAGCAGGATGCCATCCCATGTCTGGACTGCACTGGGGCCCCGGACAGGCACTGTCCCTTCCCCAGACTCAATCTTGGTGCGCAGGTGGCCTCGGAACTTCCTGACGATGTGTTTGCTGCTGTTCACTAGGAAAGAAGAAATGACCGTGAAAGATGGTAGGAACGCTGGTCCAGAGGCACAAGAGTTTGCTTGTGGAGGCGGAGGAAGGAAGTGCGACAAAGCAGCCCGGGCTCAAAAGGCCGGTCTTAGAAGTGAAGGCAGGGTGGAATTTACTCATTTTAACAGTGAAATGGTTAAGATCTGGGCTGCAGATTTTAGCCTGGGGTTGGCCAGATATCCCGTGAAGGACAGAGAGCAAATGTCTCAGAGACTCTGTGGGGCCACACTGTCTCCTTTGCCCTTTTTCAAAGCACAAAGCCATCATTGGGTTGATTTGTCATAGAATGAGTCTAACATTCCATTTTTGGACATCAGAATTGAAATGTGTAATTTTTCTAAGTTGTGAACCACAGTCAGATCTCCATATCCACAGGTTCTGTAGCTGTGCCTTCAACCAAAAACATTAGGTTCAAAAATTACAATTTTTATTTTTCCCTAAGCAATATAGTACAGCAGCCATTTTTATCATATCTACATTGTTTAGGTATTATAAGTAACCTAGCAGTGATTTAGATCTCATGGGAGGATGTGCATAGGTTATGTGCAAACACCACAGCAATTTTCTGAGGGATTGGAGCATCGTTTGTGGGGAGTCCTGAACAATCCCCAGGAATACCCAAGGATATTGTATTTTTCTTTTCAGTTTTTCTGATTTGTCTAGAATAAACTTTACCAAACAGTTTTACATAAGGTTTTTTTTCTTCCCAAAAGGGAAGAATACTTCCCAGCTCAAGGTATACATGGATACAACCCAGAGGGTAATTGTAAGAAAGAAAGGCATAGACTATTATGCCTCATATACATAGATTCTAAAGAAATTTTACCAATTTCAGGCAGTTAAACAGATGAGACAATTGCTTATGGTCAAGAAGGTTTAGTTCAGAAATGTCTTTTCACTTTTTTCCCAGCCACTAACAAATGTAAAGCTGTGCCTAGTTTTCAGGTCATTTGGAGCAGGTGCTGTGTGGGTTTGGCCTCTCAAGCTGGTCTAGATTTTAATCCTGGTGTCACTACTGACTAGCTTTGTGACTGTGGGAAAGCTACTTAAAATGATTGTGACGTGGTTACTTCCTCTTAAAACAGAGCCATGGGTGGTGCTTAGCTACTAGGCTGTAAAGATTAGGAAAGCCAGCAGGTCTGAAAAGGCTGGTGTAGCCTAGATACCCACTGGCAGAAGAATGAATAAAGAAAACGCAGTACAGACACACAGTGGAAGTTTATGCAGCTATGAGGAAGAATGAAATCTTTACTTTTCAGGAAAGTTGATGGAACTGGAGGTCATCATTATGATGATTAATATTGACTGGATCTTGCATCATTTAGAAGGCAAGTACACATACATTCATTATCTCTCTGTTCTGGTTGTGAATGTGACCAGCTGCTTCAAGCTTCTCCCCCAACTTGCCTGCAATCAAGGACTAGAGCCAGGAGTTGTAAGTTGAACAAACCTTAAAGTTCTCCCTTAAAGTTGCTTTTGTCGGGGTATTTTGTCACCTCAGTAGGAAGTGAAACTGGGACAATCATATTAAACAAAATAAGCCAGATTCACAACAAATATTGTGTGTTTCCTCTTATATGCAGAATCCAGATCTAAAAAATTTATATAGCTCATGGAAGTAGAAGAGAAGCTTATGTGGGGGAACAAGAGGTGGTGAGGGTGGGGAGAGAGACAAACATTGAATGTTTCTCTCTTACGAGGAAATCCAGATTTATATAAATGATAGAAAGGAGAAGGGGAATTATTTGGAGGGAAGGAGACCAGAAGGATGGGAGAATGGGAAGAGAGGATGAGAATGGGTATGAGCAAACTACAATGAGATAGATGTATAAAACATCACTACAAAACTCACTATTTTGTGTGGTAATGGACATATATATTCAGTATATATTGCTAGTATAACTTGGAACATGTAGTTCTTCTTAAGTACTGACTACCAAGGGCCTAGAGGACACAGGTACTTTTCTTTGCTTGTAAATGACAAACTTCCTGAGGCTGGTCCCCATATGTCTCTCACAAGTCTGTCCTGAGTTTTCCCTTCTTCCAAGACCCTTCTTGACACACATATACCCACATATATTACACCGTACAGTCCACAGTTACCTGGTAAAACCAGCATGAACAAGAGAAACTTTACATTTAATTTTCTGTCTTTTTTTAAAAAATTCTATGCATGATGTTTAGATAATATGGTATTAGAGAAATGCCTAACTGCTTTGTCTACAAATTATACACATGGTAGCATGAGTGTTATTATTAACATTTTCTATTAAACATTTTCTTTAAAATGTTTTTAAGATTTGAAGTTTCCACAGATGTAGTTTCACCATCATTTATTTTCACTGACATAGTGAATAGAACACATTAGCTTGTTGTGGACATTTCTCCTGCAGAGATTACAGTCATTTCCAGTGTACTTTATACTGAGCTGATGTTCTTTCCATACACATTCATAGAATATCTTTGGGGCTGAAAGGAGTCTCAAAGCTTGGAAAAGATAAACTTTTGAGTGGCTCCAGATAGCTTTTTCACTGTGGCCAGTCAGACAAGTGATGAGATCCAACTTAGATTTGTCCCTGTGTCATCCATGGGAAGACAAACCAAGAAGAAACAGAGCCTGGATGGATGCAATAAGCAAACTTAAATGGCACTACAAGCTGGAAGATGCTGATGGTGGTACTCCACAGTAACACTGTGGAGCTATTAATGATGACAGTAGTGGTGATACGGTGATGGTGATGGTGGCGCTGCTGTACTGGTAATGTGGATATGGTAGTGGTGATGATAATGGTGGCTATGGTGATGATGGTGGAGATGATGATGATGACAGTGAAGGTGAATATGACAATAATACTGGTGATAAAATGGAACAAAATAAAAATAGTTCATGTGACTCAAAAATACTTGACATGATTTGGGTTTAATCCTGAACTATTACACAATTCAGATGGGGTCCTTTCCAATATTAACTTTCTGTGGCAGATAGCAAATTGGGAATGGGGCAGCTAGCAATACTTACAGCTTCTATAGTGCTGTCCAAAGGTAAGGGACTTTACTATCACACTTGGGAGGCAGATTTCCAGGGGATATGGTACTTTGCTGTCCCTATACTTCTGTCAATTATACTGTCCTTATATTCTCCAAGGATACTATGTAACATTTTCCAGGCCTTGAAAGTTGCCCATTATAGCTTAAAAGCTTTCTAAATTTTCACCATCTGTTAATGTCAAGCAATAAAAAAAATCCTGGATTGCGTTGCAATATTTTTTAGGAGTCAACTCTAAGTTTTAGGTTAGATTAATTTCGCCTTAAGAGCCAGGTGTGGGAGATGCTCCCAGGTGTGTTTTCTTTGCCTTTTCTAGTGTGTTCCCTGGTGAGTCCACTGAGTCCCAGGGTGAGCTGAAGAGCTGGTGAGCTCCTACAAACCATTTCCCCTCGCTCTGATTTTTCTTGGCTAATTGCAAGAGGCAGGAGGGAGCTGAAGATGCCTCTTCAAGTATAATAAAATGCCAATCTAACCAGCAACTGCAGGGGATTGACCTTAAATTATCAGCAGGGGATTGAACCTGTTCTTGAGACAACGAAGATGTGGAACTTTAAAATCCTGCCTGTCATGTATCCATAGATAGTTTCAAGTCCATTGGAACACTCTACTCAATTCTTATATCCAGAGACCACTCGCCCTATTGTTATTATGTTTATTAACTTTTTTGGTTTGATAGTAAGGAAAATAGAGTGGTAGTATGCTTTAAAAACTCTTTAGGTGAATATTGAATTTTTAGGAGAGGCTCAAAAGGGTTGGTGAGACAACTAATTAAATATTATAGCTGCTCCAATGGTATAATTGTGTGTGTGTGTGTGTGTGTGTGTGTGTGTGTGTGTGTGTGTGTGTGTTTGTATGTGTGTGTGTGTGTGTGTGTAGATCAGAATTTAAAATTAGAAACAAAACAATTTAACAAGCAAAAATTCCCACCCCCCCCCCGACAAAGGTATAAAAAAGAAAGTATTTTTAAATACTACATTAAAAAAATTCAAGTTATCATCAATTAACATAGTTTAGAAAGTGTATTTGTGAAGTAGGTTATCGTTTACTATAATAAAACCTCTAATAGTTACCATGTGGTTATATAGGTGATCTTCGTTTTGTTTGCATTATGAGACTATGAAAATGTATTACTCTACAATTCATGAGCATGATCCTGTGTAACATGTTTCTGTGACTCAGTAGGACATCTGAAGATAGGAATTTAGGGACTCATGCTTTAGATCCCCGACTGTCTACAGGACTGTGTCTCAGTTTTGTACCCTGCCCTTTTACACAATAAATGTGACTGGCTTAGATTGACTGCATTAGGCACCTAGCACAACACTGTAGATACCTATATTATAGAATCTTGCTATCTTATGACATCTTGTAGAAGATTTACTATAGAGTTTAACATGCTAGATCATTGGAAAGTGATGGGAATAATTGACTTTGCCAGGTTAGTTAATGAAAGGGGATTAATAAAGAGGCTACTGATGATTTGAGAGGAAGACAGAAGTTATTCAGCCATGAGGAGGTGCGTGGGTCCTGATATTCTTCTCTTACATTTAGGATCTCTCATACAACCTATTATTATTATTGAAAAAGTTTCTTAAAGGTATGTAGTATATGTTGAGTATATTCCCTCATCCTGTTCCTCCCCTGCACCCTCCCCTGTGCCTCCTCACACTCACTAGTCCCTTTTATTCCTCTAGACATTTCCACTTCCACTTTCATTTAATAAATACATGCATGGTTTTATGTGGCCATGTTAGCTTCAGGAACCATAAGTAAGAGAGGACACATAGAAGAATGAAAGTATCTCTCACCACGCATGAACATCAAACCAAATGGGTCAAAGACTGTCAGATAAGACCCGACTCTCCGAAACTGTCAGAGAAAAAAGTAGGTAAAAATACATCAAGATACAGGCATAGCCAATG